GTGTGTGTGTTGGCTGTGGGGTGTGTGTGTGTGGTGTGTGTGTGTGGTGTGTGTGTGTGTGTGTGGTGTGGGTGTGTGTGGTGTGTGTTGGCTGTGGGGTGTGTGTGGTGTGGGTGTGTGGGGTGTGTGTTGGCTGTGGGGTGTGTGGTGTGTGTGTGTGTTGGCTGTGGGGTGTGTGGTGTGTGTGGCTGTGGGGTGTGTGGTGTGGGGTGTGGTGTGGTGTGTGGTGTGGGGTGTGGTGTGGGGTTGGGGTGTGTGGTGTGGGGTGTGTGTTGGCTGTGGGGTGTGTGTGTGTTGGCTGTGGGGTGTGTGTGTGTTGGGTGTGTGTTGGCTGTGGGGTGTGTGGGGTGTGTGTGTGTGTTGGCTGTGGGGTGTGTGTTGGCTGTGGGGTGTGTGTGTGTGTGTTGGGTGTCCGCCCACCTGTTGGTTTCCCGCTCTGAGGAGCACAATGCTCTGACAGCTCTGATTAACGTGAGGTTAGTGAGGACCCCTCTCCCGGGTCTCCCTCATTTAATCAACACAAAGCGTCTTCAATAAACCGCACCCGGGAAACCTGGGCCTGGACCGGAGCCCGGAACTCACCCGACCCTCCCCGGTACCCGAGCAGCACAAACACCCCCCACGGTCCCCCTGAGTCACCCCCTGTCCCCCTCACCCCCGCTCTCCCCCTCAGCGCCGCCTCACTCTCTCACCGTCTCTCAGAACCGTTTGTCGTCGGAAAAAAAACCGTTGGTCGTCGAGCTTTTGGTATCTCGCGCCGCTCAGCTCAGCCCCGCCCCCCCTCCCGGGATTTTGATTGGACAGGGAGCAAGTGAGCTCTGATTGGACAGGGAGCAAGTGAGCTCTGATTGGACAGGGAGCAAGTGAGCTCTGATTGGACAGGGAGCAAGTGAGCTCTGATTGGACAGGGAGCAAGTGAGCTCTGATTGGACAGGGAGCAAGTGAGCTCTGATTGGACAGGGAGCAAGTGAGCTCTGATTGGACAGGGAGCAAGTGAGCTCTGATTGGACAGGGAGCAAGTGAGCTCTGATTGGACAGGGAGCAAGTGAGCTCTGATTGGACGGGGAGCAAGTGAGCTCTGATTGGACAGGGAGCAAGTGAGCTCTGATTGGACAGGGAGCAAGTGAGCTCTGATTGGACAGGGAGCAAGTGAGCTCTGATTGGACAGGGAGCAAGTGAGCTCTGATTGGACAGGGAGCAAGTGAGCTCTGATTGGACAGGGAGCAAGTGAGCTCTGATTGGACAGGGAGCAAGTGAGCTCTGATTGGACAGGGAGCAACAACAACAACAAGATTCCATTTATAGAGCTCCTTTCACGTCAGGAGGACGTCCCAAGGCGCTGCACAGTTGGGTCATGACCCGAGCAGTGGGGGAAATGGTCAGGGTGAGGGGAGGGAAGGGAGGGAGCGAGGAGGGGGAAGAGAGTCGAGAGGAGAGCTGAAGGCACTCAAAGAGAAAGGTTTTGAGACCGGCCTTGAAGGAGGAAAGGGAGGAAGCGGCGAAGGCACTGGGGATGGAGTTCCAGGGCTGAGAGGCTGAAGGCCACTGATGGTAGGGCGGTTGGGGCGGGGGACGTGGAGCAGACCAGAGCCGGAGGAACGGAGGGTACGGGCAGGTAGGGGGATAGTAGGTTGGAGAGGTAGGAGGGAGCGAGGCCGTGAATGGCCTTGTAGGTGAGGATGAGGATCTTGAAATCAATCCTCTGGGGGATGGGGAGCCAGTGGAGGTGAGCGAGGGCGAGGGTGAGGGTGAGGGCGAGGGTGGGAGTGATGTGGGCGCGGTGTCTGGTGCGGGACAGGACACGAGCTGCAGAGTTCTGAATGACCTGCAGTGTGGAGGGAGGTGGCGGGAAGGCCGACGAGGAGAGAGTTCCCATAGTCCGGCCTTGAGGTGACAAAGGCGTGGACCAGGGTTTCAGCAGCGTGAGGGGTGAGGTAATGCCGTAGTCTGGCGATGTTCCGGAGGTGATGGAAGGCGGTGCCAGTTGAGCTGAAGAAGGTGAAGAAGTTGGGAGGAGGAAAGGGAGCAAGTGAGCTCTGATTGGACAGTGGGAGGTGATGGTTGGAGCACCGGTTTATTGTCTCAATGATGATTCACTCAGGAATTAATAACAATAATAATGCAAGGATTATTATTATTATAATTCTGGTGTTTTACCCGGCGCCTGATCACGTCTCAAAGTGCTTCACAGGAGACACTGTAAAGTGTAGTGACTGTGTATTTTGTGGGCAAAACTCGGCAGCCAATTGCGTCCAGCGACGTCTCCACACACAGTTATGTGACCAAATTATTATTATTATTGTTGAAGGGCTTATTAACCCCCAGAAAAAGCAATCCCCGCAATCGGCTAACAAATGGGTTCCCACTGACTGCTGATAAACAGAGGCACGTGGTGTGTGCGTGTGTGTGGAGTGAGGAAACTTACCCAATGTATAGAGGGTGAAATAGATACAGTAACACAAATAGATATGAGTTTCCATTGTTTTAAAACCAATACCTTTTCCCATTCACCCATAACTAATGAACAATTTTTTAATGAACAATGAAGACGTGAAACTGGAAGGAAGGTAAGAGAACTGGGAGCTGTGTTTGGTTCTTCAGCAAAATTTAATCTCACGTTCACTGTCTTGTTTTATTTATGGCTTGTTATGGTGTGAACAGTAATTTTCACTGGCACAGCTGTGCAGCTCAAGCCCACAACGCTGAGGTTGTATGTCCGTATGTCACATTCAGCAATGCTTTCTTGCCTCCTTGGAAGGTTGAGTAAGTGGGACATTCGTGGAACTGAACTGTCTCCAAGGTGATCTACTCAGCAATAATAATAAACCTTGCATTTGATCTAGCACCTTATCACATCTTTGAGGCACTGTAATATACTGTAAAGTGTAGTGACTGTGAATTTTGTGGGCAAAATGCAGCAGCCAATTGCGCAAGGCAGTGTCCCACAAACAGTGGGATTGAGTGACCAAATTATTATTATTATTTTTTTGAAGGAATTATTACCCCCAGAAACCAATCTGCCAATCGACTAACGACCAGGTTCCTACTTACTGCTAGATAAACGGAGTGGGTGTGGAGTAAGGACAGATGCCTAAGGTTTGGGATTCGAACCTGGGTCCTCTCGCTTGCGAGGCGAGTGCTCTAACCACTATGCTACAGGACTCCACAGTGTAAGAACTGTCACAAAATGTTTCTCCCCAGGCTGGAGTTGTGTCATAGCCAGAGTTTGACCTCAGACCCTCACTGATCTCAAAGCTGATGAATATTCCAAATCCTCCCTCCCTCATCCACACACACATTCATACCAAACATTAAACATTTAGTGTTATAACTGGGTTGGATAAAATCCTATTCCCCTTGGGTTATAAATATATAATCAAAGCTTTACCATTGAACCCTTGATCAAAGCTTGAGACCCCCCACTTCTCCCGTTCCTGTCTCCTCCTACCAGAGAATCACCCCAGAGGGGGATTTACAGTATCGTAACATTAATCGCTATCAGAGACTCCTATTCTTCGCATGAGACATTAAACCAAAATCCCGTCTGCGCTTGTTTTGTCAAGGATCATTAATGTGTCCAACTGAACCGGTGTAGATGGACCTCTCACTTGAAGGACAGCATCTCTGTTTTCCTATGTAATAGTAATATTAATAATAATCCATGCATTTGATATAGTGCTTTATCACGTCTTCAAAACATCTCAAAGTTCTTCACGGATACATAAAAACATAAGAAATAGGAGCAGGAGTAGGCCATTCAGCCCCTCGAGCCTGCCCCACCATTTAGTAAGATCATAGAGTGCACAATTAATTGGCTGCCGTGTTTCGCCCACAAAATATACAGTTTGTATATTTTGTGGGCGAAACACGGCCCCCAATTAATGCACAATAGTGTCCCACAAACAGTCTTTGATCGACTGAACAAATTATTATTATTATAATTTGGTTTCAACAATAATATTCTGTAGTTTAGTGTTAGAGCACTTGCCTCGCAAGCGAGAGACCTGGGTTCTATTCCCGGCCAGGCGAAATATTGGGCAAGTTTCCTTACTCCACATGCCTCTGTTTCCCGGCAGTAAGTAGGAACCCAGTCATTAGTCGATTGGCAGATTGCTTTTCTAGGGGTAATGATCCCTTCAAAAAAAAATTTGGTCACTTCAATCCCGACTGTTTGTGGGACGCTACTGTGTGCAATTGGCTGCCGCATTTCGCCTACAAAATATATGGTCAATTCACTTTACAGTCTATTCTGTTAAGCACTTTGAGACTTCTAGAAAATGTGAAAAGCGCTATACCAAATGCAAGGATTATTATTATATATTATTATATCATCTCAGTGAAGCCACTGATACTAACGGAGATGACAGAACTGGCTGAAAGACCACAACCCCAACAACAAAAGCTAAATATGTATTTATTTAGCACTCCTCACAGGGTAGCGTCTCAGAGAGCTTGCATCCCAAACCTGCAGAAGACACCCTCCAGCCAATGATTAGAGATAGCCAACGCAGTTCGTCAATCCTTCTGTTACAAATCGTCAGGTGGTGGTGTCTCGCAGTCTCTGCGCTGTGGCTAATTAAATGCTTCTATATTTCTTTGACTTTGACAGAAACGTCTTTCACAGGCTAGCTCTCTCTCTCTCTCTCTCTCTGTCTCTCTCCAAGCCTGTGTTTCCATTCTTCCCTCCTTCCCCCTTTCAATGCTGACCTGGCACCTCCTTATCTCTTCCACTTGTTTATGCTCCAACCCACTATGCGTTGCCTCCGACTACTGGCTCCAGCCTCCTGCTTGTCCCTCAGGCCCTCCCTTCTCTCCACCATCAGCGGCCGCACATTCAGCCACTACGCCCCGAAGTTCTGTCACTCTCTCCCCTAATCCCTCTGCCTTGCACTCTCCCTCCTTCCCCTATTTTAGATCACGACTGAAGACCATCCTCTTCAACCGTCACTTCCTCCCTACCTCTACCTGGCTCAGTCACAGCAAAAAAAAAATTATTTTTGTTTTGAAAAGTTATAATATTTTAATTTTTTTTTACAGGAAAAAAACACCAGAAGCTTTTTCGAGATTAAAATCCATCTGAAATCCGCCCCATCCCCCCACCACCATCCAGTGGAAAGCAGAATCAATTGAGGTGTTGAAAAGGGAGATGGATAGATACTTGTGGAAGAAGGACATTGAGGGAGGAAAAGGCTGGGAAATTGGGATCAGCTGAGTTGTACTGATACACGAGCAGCCCCTGAATGGCTGCTGTGTTGCTTTGGCTCGTCTCCGTAAGGGGTGAGTGCAAGGGGCAAAATGTTCACCGGAAAAAGGAGAGTTTCTGTAGCAGCCATTCCTCAGTCAGGTCCTCGGTGTTCCTGATCTCAAACACCTGTGTGAATAACAGCCAACGACAGATAATGATGATAATATCCTGTAGCTCAGTGGTTAGAGCACTCGCTTTGCAAGCGAGAGACCTGAGTTCAATTCCAGACAGGGGAAAACCTTGGGCAAGTTTCTTTACTCCACACAGAGCCTAATAATAATCCTCCAAAACCAAAAACAATAATAAATTGGTCATTTTCAATCTACGACTGTTTGTGGGACATTGCTGTGCACAATTGGCTGCCGCGTTCGCCCACAAATATACAGTCAATTCACTTTACAGTGTGTTCTGTGAAGCGCTTTGGGACGTCCTCCCGACGTGAAAAGCGCTATATCAAATGCAAGGATTATTATTATTATTAATATCCTTGCATTTGATATAGTGCCTTATTATGTCTTTGACACGTCTCAAAAGTGCTTCAGTGAGGATTGTGGCTCAGTCTCGCTGCTTCTGCCCCACAAACAGTGACATTCTAGTGACGCAGCAGGGAACATAAGAATTTTGCTAGATTAAGGTCCATCCAGCTCGCCTTCCACTATCCTAGCAGTCGCTTGCACATGTCATGTCCCAACTGACTGACATCAGTTGGGTTTGGAGACTCTTAAACACGGTGATGGGTTTTCGCGTGTGTCAGACACCCAGCTGACCAAAAAACAATTTCCTCTCCACACCCCCACCCCCAGCTCATTATTGTTTAGAACCTTGGGACATCCTCCCAACGTGAACCGCCAACCATTTGATCGTGGAGGCGAGAGTGTGAGTGACTGAGACCTAATCTGACACCACAGTGAACAGCAAACACTGAGTGTAACAAGTTCCCAAGCCAAGACCTGCCTATCCATACATACACACCTTGGTGAGGTTTGCGATTTGCACCAATCTTGTCTTGCTCCCGGCGTACATCATCTGCTGTTCAGGCTTGCACCCTACAACTCAATCACAACCAGAGAGTCAGAAACAGATCCTTCCACTTGTTACTGTAACCCAAAATCTGGTAGCGTGGAATCCTGTGGTGTAGTGGATAAGAGTGTTCACCTCGCAAGTGAGAGGACCTGGATTTGACTCACCGGACGGGGCGAAACATTAGCCAAATTTCTTTACTCCACACACACACACACACACATACACACACATACACACGCACCTCTGTTTATCAGCAGTAAGTAGGAACCTGCTCGTTATTCGATTGGCGGATCACTTTCCGGGGGTAATAATCCATGACTGTGGGACACTGCTATATGTAATTGGCTGCTGCGTTTCGCCCACAAACTATACAGTCAATTTGCTTTACGTTATATCCTGTGAAGCGCTTTGAGACGTCTCTGAGACGTGATGAGGCACTTTGTCAAATGTAAGGATTATTATTGTTATCTGTCCTGAAGTTGTCCTCAACAACTGTGCAACTGCTGTGTCCTCTTGTGGTGTGTATCAGTATTGCTGTTGGTGGCTTTATCACATTATATTGGAAGCCATCGGTATAAGATGTTGTCAGATGGGCTGTGCTCACTCACCCAGGGGACTGCTGAAGATCAGGCAGAGCGGGTAGGAAACCCTCTTGTCCTCATGGACGTATTTGTAACTGTAAACCACGAATGTGCACATTTGTCAAGGAAGAGCTGGAGGCTTCATTAATTGATGGAAGTCTTTTTTTCACACAAAGGGTTAGTGGAAATCTAGAACTCTCTCCCTCCCCCAAAAGGCTGTGGATTATGGCTGGATCCATTCACATGGTCCAGACTGAGGTGGAGAGATATTTGTTAGGTCCTCCTCAGGGGTCAGGGTATCAGGGGGCAAAGGCGGGTAATTGGAGTTGAGGTGCAAATCAACCGTGATCTTATAGAAACTCAGAAACAGGCTTGAGGGGCTGAATGGCCTCTTAATAATAATAATAATAATCCTTGTATTTGATATAGCGTTTTTCACATCTTCTCGACGTCCCAAAGCGCTTCACAGAATATACTGTAAAGTGAATTGACTGTATATTTGTGGGCGAACGCGGCAGCCAATTGCGCACAGCAATGTCCCACAAACAGCCATGGATTGAAAATGACCAATTTATTATTGTTTTGTTCTTTTGGAGGGATTATTATTATTCCTGTGTTGCTAGATAGTGGGCTCAAAGTCCTGACTTGAAGCCACAATTCTCATCCCAACGTGAAGTGCGCTGTATCAAATGTCAGGATTATTATTGTTATTAAATAACTTCTGAATAATTAGGCTTTACAAATAGATAAATAAATACAACAACTATAGCACGATAGCGTCAGAGTGCTGAGTTTCAAATAATAACCCTTGCTCTTGATAGGACAGCTTTTTTAGTACAGGAGGACGTCTCAAAGCTCTTCACAGGATTCGCTGGGTGTGACGGGGGGAGGGGAAGGAAAGGGTGAAGGTACATATGTGAAGGATATCGAGGTTGCCGTTCTGGGAGCTCATCCCGGAGCTCATCAGGAGAAATGTTCTGGGGAGGAGGAAGAAACACATGAGTTTCCACAATTTGAATAATAATCCTTGCATTTGATACAGCATCTTATCAAGTCATTGAGATGTCTCAAAGCACTTCACAGGATACACTGTAAAGTATAATTTGGTCACTCAATCCACGACTGTTTGTGGGACACTGCTGTGCGCAATTGGCTGCTGCGTTTTGCCCACAAAATATACGGTAAATTTACTTTACGGGATATTCTGTGAAGTACTTTGAGACGTCTCCAAGAAATCATAAGACGCTGTATCAAATGCAAGGATTATTATTAATATTTTTTATTATTAATATTATTTAATATTATTATTAATATTATTTAATATTATTATTAATATTATTTAATATTATTATTAATATTATTTAATATTATTATTAATATTATCAGTTAGTGACATCCCAACAGAGAGATTGCTCACCTCATGTTCTTCCTCCAGAACCACCAACTGCTTGTCTTTGTCAATTTTTACTGGAAGAGAGAAGACAAATAGGGAAACAATGCTGGCCGATAATCCTACTGATAAATTAGACATTCACATTATGGCTCTTTGGTGGTCAACCCACTGCTAGTCTCAACACACTACCCGCTGCCTCCGCTCTACTGTCTGGGACTCCAGCTTGTCCCTCGTGCCCTCCGTTCCACCATCAGTGGCCGCACTTTCAGCCACTATACCCCAAAACTCTGTCACTCTCTCCCTCCTCCTTGCCCCTTCCTTCTCCAACTGTTGTGTGCAATTGGCTGCCGCATTTCACCCACAAAATATCCAGTCAATTCACTTTACACGTGTATCAGGTGAAGCGCTTTGAGACGTCTCGAAAACATTATAAGGCATTGAATCAAATGCAACGATTATTATTGTTATTTTCAGGTCACGCCTGAAGACCTTCCTCTTCAACCAGTGCCTACGGTCACCTCCCCAACCCTCCCCCCGGCTCGGTATTGTGCTTCGTCACCGTCAAGCTCTGTGGGTCACTTTACTGCATGAGGGGTGCTGTGTAAATGTAATTTGTTGTTGTCTCTCACTGGTTTTCTACTCACTGATAATCGCTGCATTGTTGGTATGTTTGCGGAAACGGAATTCTTTCAGCCTCTCAGAAAGCTCAGGAGCCACGTCACAAACCACCAGCGATTCCGCCTGCCCAGGGGTGGGGTGGGGGGAGATGGTGGTGAAGAGGGGAAATAATTAACAAGAATAAACAGGAGGAGGTGAACAAGGTTTAGGCTGACTTTGGCCTTTCACCCAGAGTTTAGGCTAAAAAATTTGTAAACAAGGATAATCCCTGCATTTCATTCATTCAGTTCCTAAAGTGTCCCAAAGGAGCCTAACTGGTTATCTAACAGTTAATGTTTGACAACAGTTTTTACTGTGATTATTGCACAGTCAGTAACTATTTCACTTCCTTCATCTCCCTGGAGATGTTCTATCTACCATCCCCTCCCCTCACCCCCACCCCTTCATCCGCTGATGTTTCATCACAGTCTGTTTCCTGTTGGTCTGATACATTGGTGTGTTGAATAACATAGAAACTCCTGGCAGTTTACTGCCACTTTACAGCCTGATTCGTAGAGTCCTGTAGCTCAGTGGTTAGAGCGCTCACCTTGCAAGTGAGATGGACCTGGATTTGATTCCTTACTTGGCATGTTTCCTTACTCCACACACACACACACACACACCTCCATTGACCAGCAGGAAGTAGGAACTTGCTTGTTAGTCGAATGGCGGATTGCTTTTCTCCGGGGGTAATAATCAATCAAAAAATATTAATAATTTGGTCATTCAATCCACAACTGTTTGTGAGACGCTGCTGTGCACAATTGGCTGCCGCGTTTCCCCTGAAAATATATGGTCACTACACTTTACACTATAGTCTGGGAGACGTCTCAAAGATGTGATAAGGCCTTGTAACAAATGCAAGGATTATTACTATGTAGTGTTAGTCAGTAACGCACTATGTAGTGTTAGTCAGTAACGCACCTACTCATGAATGAACAGTAAAGGTAAGCTAGAAAACGAGAGTGAAACAAGGAGAGTATTGAAGCAATGTCTCACCATGTCTCTGTTCTGCTTCGCCTCTCGTGCAGTTTCCTCGGCTTTGCTGCTTTTTGGTCTTGTGACAGGATGCGTAAAAGCTCAGTTCCTGAACATGGCATAAACACCCAGTGTATTAACGGATCCAAGTTGGGTCAAAACCCCCTTACGGGTGGGGGAGGGGGCGAGGTGGGGGAAGGAGGGGAAAGAAACAATAACAGAGCGAGTGAGGATAATAAATGCACTCACTTTGCCAATCTCCAGGACGGTCCCGCCAACATAAAAACTACTTAAAGCACATACCGTGTTCATCAAGGCTGCACACAGGATGTGCCTTGCATCCGGCTATAAGTCTCAACTCACCACAACTCAGCTTCAGAGAAAGGAAGGTGCCGCAACTAACACTCATCCTAATGCAATAATATTAATGAAATCCCATAATGTTATTTTCTAAAAGAAAACTATCTATAGTGACTGTGTATTTTACCCACCCTCTCACGCCTCACCCATCCTTACCTCAAATGCCAACTGCGAGGCGATGTTGGACTTCCTCGAATCCAAAGTCGAAGGAATCCGCCACTGCAACTGTACAACCTCCCCATCTCCCCCTCCCATCCCGGCCCCTACCCACCCCTCCCTCAACACCTTTGAACCCGTCTCCCCCCCCTCTCTCATCACCACCATAACCCGTATAAAATCCACCACCTGCTCCCTGGATCCCATCCCTACACCGCTCCTTACCTCCCAGCTCTACCTCCTTGCCCCTCTACTAACTGAAATTGTTAATCTCTCCCTGTCCTCTGGTACTGCTCCCACCCCTTTAAAAACCGCTGTCATCACTCCTATCCTTAAAAAAACCTTCCCTGGACCCTTCTCTACTACTGCCCCATTTCCAACCTCCCTTTCCTCTCCAAGGTCCTGCTTTGCTCTTTCCTCTCCCACCACTCCCATCTTGAACCCTTCTAATCGGGTTTCCGTGCTGCCCACAGCACAGAAACAGCCCTGGTCAAAGTAACAATAATATTCTGTCCATCTTCGACCAGGCTTCCCTCTGCCTCCTCATCCTCCTTGACCTCTCTGCTGCTTTTGACACCGTCAACCACTCTATCCTCATCCACGGCCTCTCCTCTCACTTCAACCTCCACGGCTCTGTCCTTAACTGGTTCAGATCCTACCTCTCACATGGCCTGCACTTCATCTCCACAAACAGCTTCTCCTCTCGCCCCCGGTCCATCTCATGCGGCGTTCCTCAGGGCTCTGTCCTTGGTCCCCTCCTCTTCAATATCTATATGCTCCCCCTTGATGATATCATCCGCAGACATGGGGTCAACTTCCACATGTATGTGGATGACACCCAACTGTATCTCTCTGGCTCCACCCTTGACCCCAGGACCCACTGCTGTCCTGACAGAATGTCGGTCAGACCAAGCCCTGGATCAGAGCTAACTTTTTTCAGTTGAACGACAACAAGACCGAGGCTCCTGATTGTCTCCAGTCAGCTCCTCCTCACCTCAAACGCTGACAGCATCACCATCCACGGTTGCACGCTCCACTTTGCTAAGCCAGTCCCGAACCTTGGAGTCTTGTTTGATCCTGAACTATTCTGTCTACCCCATATTCGCGCCATGACCCGCTCTGCCTTCCGCCACCTCCACAACATCGCCCGGCTCTGCCACTGCATCACACCCCAGGCTGCCGAAACCCTCATAGTTGAGGCTCAACTATGCAAACTCACTGCTTGTCAGCCTCCCCAACTCTGGCCTGTTTCACATCCCCTGCCTTACTCGCCCCACTATGGGCGGGCAGGTCTTCCCCCCACTCTGCATCCACCCTCTGGAACTCCACCCCGCAGTCCCTCCGTCTAGTCCCCTCCCTCCCCACCTTCAAGACCCACCTCAAGACCCTCCTCTTCGACTGTACTTTTGATCCCCCAGCTTCCCCACCCTGCCCTCTGCCCTCCCCCACCCCGACCCTCAGCTTGTGTCCAAAACTCTGTCTGTCTCTCTCTGTCCTTGGGACGTCCTCCCGATGTGAAAGATGCTATATAAATGTAATAGAATCATAGAATTGTACAGCGCAAAAAGAGGCCATTGGGCCCATTGAGCCTGTGCCGGCTCTTTGAGAAGAGCAATGTAATGTCAGTCCCACTCCCCAGCCCTTACCCCATAACCCTGCAAACCCGTCCTCCTCAAATACCCGTCCACCACATTTTTAAAAGTTGTTATCAAATCGGCCTCGAGTCACCGACACACCCACCAGTGGTAACAGTTTGTCCCTCTCTAATCTATCAAATCCCCTCATGATTTTGAAGACCTCTATCAGGTCCTCGTAACCTTCTCTGCGCCAATGAGAATAATCCTAACCTCTCCAGCCTTTCCTCATCATCAAGGTCCCTCATTCCTGGTACCATCCTCATAAATCTCCTCTGTACCCTTTCCAATGCCTTAACATCCTTCCTATAGTGTGGGGCCCAGAACTGGGGCAGTATTCTAACCTAGGCCTAACCAGTGTTTATATAGGTTAATCATCACCTCCTGACTCTTGTACTCTATGCTCCTATTTATAAAGCCCAGTGTCCCATATGCCCTTTTTACAGCGTTATCTACCTGTCCTGCCACCTTCAAGGATTCAGTTACCTGCCCCCCAGGTCTCTCTGTTCCTTCACCCCCTTAAGATTGTATTACCGCCTATATTGTCCCTCATTCTTTCTACCAAAATGCATTTCCTCGTATTTCTCCACATTGAAACTCATCTGTGTCTGCCCATTTTAGCATTCTGTCTATGTCTTCCTGCAGTCGGCTGCTATCCTTCTCACTGTTTACAACCCTATCTAACTTTGTGTCGTATCAAATAACAAACATTTGATACAGTGTCGTCAAAAGAGTCCGTCAAGGTGCAAAATGTCGTAAACCACCTTGTATTTCACACAGCGCCTTATCGTAGAGACGTCTCAAAGCGCTTCACAGGATATGCTATATAGTGTAGTGACTGTATGTTTTGTGGGCGCCTTGAGATAGCACGATAAGGCACTGTATCACTTGCAATGGTTGGCAGTTCTTTACCCGCAGACTTGGATATTCATTTGCTTGTCCACCAAGGGACAATACATGGATGGAGGAAATGGCACCGTTGTTCTGGCAGCAAGAGATTAATTCCTGCGTTGGATGCACTGAGGCTCGCTGCATCGGAGCAGGATTGCGACGATCAGACACGGCAGCCAATTGTGCACAGAAGTGTCCCACAAACAGTCGTGTATTGAGTGACCAGATTATTATTATCCCCAGAAAGCGATCCACCAATCGACCAACAATAATATTCCTTAATAATATTCACTCATAATATTATAATTAGAACCCAGTTCAGGTGGATGTTAAAGTTCCCGTGGCGCTATAAGAAAACAGAAGGGAGTTTCTCTCCCGGTGTCTTGACCAACAATCACAGAGATAAAATCATTTTTTTTTTATTTGGCTGCTGTACGTCACCCACAAAATACACTGTCAATTCACTTTACAGTGTATTCTGTGAAGCGCTTTGACAAGCCTTGAAGACGTGATAAGGCGCTGTATCAATATAATGATTATTATTATTTTGGCTGTTTGCATTACAAATTGTGCGCAAATTGTCAGCCCTGTCCTCCCACGTGACAGGTAGGAGAGCATGTTTCTGTCTCCAAGCGATTATGGGATCTGAAGGGTTACACCCATCTCTCTGTCAACCTGAATAATCTCTCGAAGGCTATTTCTAACACACCCAGTTCTGTGAGGAGAAATTTACTGTTGTGAATGTGCTGTGTAACGTTCCATCGTTTTATCAACATCTCTCAGGTCCAGAATTTCTCTAGTTCCTCTGACCAAAACCTGTGAGAGTTACAGGGTCATGACACAAGCCATGAAAATTGTGGGTTCATGCCCCCCCCCCCATGCCCCAGCTGTGGGCTCTTTGGGAAGTCCCAGTCCAGGCTGACGCTCTGTGAACCTCCGAGACATCCTCTTGACATGAAAGACATTGTACCAATTGTTGGAATGATTATTATTGTAATGAGCAGTGCCAACGCAGAGGGGCTGCCTTTATACTGATGGTTAAACATTAGAAGTGTTTATAATAATAATAATCCTTGTATTTGATATATATATATTTAAAAAATGCAGTCACTCAATCCACGACTGTGTGTGTGGGGACGGACGTCACTGGACGCGCTTGGCTGCCGCATCTTGGCCACAAGACACACAGTCACTGCGCTTTACGCGAAATTTGTGTGAAGCGCTTTGAGATGTCTCGGAGACGTGACAAGGCGCTGGGGCCAAACACAAGGGATATTGTTGTTGTTGTTACGGCGCCTCATCACGTCGTTGAGATGTCTCAAAGCGCTTCACGGGGAAACACTGTAAAGTGTAGTGACTGTGTTTTGTGAGTGAAACTCTTTAATACACGTGGAGATATAGACCTGTGTCCAGATGTACAGGATTCCCGATGATCCCCCATTGATGGGATCGGCAGCAGAGAGAGAACTTTGTGGAGTCCTGAGGCTCAGTGGTTAGAGCACTCGCTTTGCAAGCGAGAGACCTGAGTTCAATCCCAGGCAGAGGGCGAAACCTCGGGCAAGTTTCCTTACCCCACACAGAGCCAAATAATAATCCTCCAAAACCAAAAACAATAATAAAAATTGGTCATTTTCAATCCACGACTGTTTGTGGGACATTGCTGTGCGCAATTGGCTGCCGCGTTCGCCCACAAATATACAGTCAATTCACTTTACAGTGTCTTCTGTGAAGCGCTTTGAGACGTCGAGAAGACGTGAAAAGCGCTCTATCAAATGCGAGGATTATTATTATTATTATTATTACAACTCCCGGCATCCTTTCCGCTGGACTCCGTCCCATACTTCCGGCCTGGTCTGACCCGCTGCCGCTTTGATTGACAGGTAGGGGGCGGGGAGAGCAGACAAAGGAACCAATCAGCGTCACGACAACTAGAGGAAGCGAGAGCGCGGGCTCTACGTCAGTACGTCAGCGTGACGCAGGCGCGCACTGAGTGGTGCAAAAGGGCGGCAAGAGAGCGAGCGCCTAGCACGTCAGCTTGACGCAGGAACGCACATACGCCTTTGAGGCGGACGAAAAGGGCGGGAAGAGGGACGGCTCCGTACGTCAGCGTGACTCATGCACGTACTGACGTACGCGGGCGGCGGTTACCCCCCTCCCCCTTCCTCCTCTCCCCGCCGCGCCGCGCGCCGCCTCCCGCCTCCATGTTGCGCGGTTTCCAGGTGAAGAAGGAGAAGATCAGAGAAAAAAAGTGTCCGTGAGGGAGAGGCGGCCACAGGAGAGGCCGGGGCCCCGCGAGGACGGCGTTTCTGAGGGGAAATTAGGCCCGGGCTGTCGAATGGGATCGTTTTGGTGGCGATTGGGAGTCAGGTTTGTGTGTTTTTTTGATTTGAGAAGTTGAGGTGTTTTTTTTCTCTGTGTGTGAGTGAGTGAGTCTGGGGTTTGGGGTCGCGGCCTCTCCTCTCTTCCTCCTCCATCACTTCACTTCACTTGGCCCTGGGTGGGCGGGTGGGGAGGCTATTGCCGGCCCTGTGTGAGGAGAGGGAGCGAGGGCGGCAATTATTAATAATAATGGTAACAAAACGCAAAATACCTGCAATGTTGACTGACTTTCCACTCTCCACAGATGCCGGCTGACTCGCTCAACAATAATAATAATACTGGTATTTGACCCGGCGCCTCATCACATCGTTGAGACGTCTCAAAGCGCTTCACAGGAGACACTGTAAAGTGTAGTGACTGTGTATATTGTGGGTAAAACACGGCAGAGTCCAACACTTTATCATGGATTGAGTGACCAAATTACTATTATATTTGAGGGATTATTACCCCCAGAAAGTGATCCACCAATCGAGTAACAACCGGATTCCTACTGCCGCCCGGCCCGCCCGCGGGGGCTGCCGCCCAGCCCGCCCGTGGGGGCTACCGGCCCGCCCGCGGGGGCTGCCGCCCGGCCCGCCCGCGGGGGCTGCCGCCCGGCCGGCCCGCCCGCGGGGGCTGCCGCCGCCGCCCGCGGGGGCTGCCGCCCGGGCCCGCGGGGCTGCCGCCCAGCCCGCCCGTGGGGCTACCGGCCCGCCCGTGGGGCTGCCGCCCGGCCGGCCCGCCCGCGGGGGCTGCCGCCCGGCCCGCCCGTGGGGGCTACCGGCCCGCCGCGGGGGCTGGCCGGCCGGGGGGGGGCGGGGGCTGCCGCCCGGCCGGCCCGCCCGCGGGGGCCGGCCGGCCCGCCGCGGGGCTGCCGCCCAGCCCGCCCGTGGGGGCTACCGGCCCGCCCGCGGGGGCTGCCGCCCGGCCGGCCCGCCCGCGGGGGCTGCCGCCCAGCCCGCCCGTGGGGGCTACCGGCCCGCCCGCGGGGGCTGCCGCCCGGCCTGTGGGGTGGGAAAGAGAAGGAGACTGAAAATTCACAGCAGAAGAAACCAGGAGGGAGAGAAAAGCCATTGTTTGTTAGGAGACAAATAATAATAATAATCATTGTGGCATTTGATAGTGCTTTATCACGTCCTCGAGACGTCTCAAAGAGCTTCAGACGATATACTGTAAAGTTAATTGACTGTATTGTGTGGTGACTGAGCGCTCTGGAACACTGCCCTGCGTGAGGGGTGCTATATATTGCGCAAGGTTATTGTTGTTAACATGTTATTTTTAATGCTTTTAAAATATTTTTAAATAAATAACCTAGAAATTCTTGAATACGATCCCTCCCATCCATTGCTTAAATTTTATTTCTCTCCCTTGATCACGCTTTGAGACGTCTTGAAGATGTTATATGGGGCTATATCAAATGCAAGGGTTATTATTGGAGTCCTGTAGCTCAGTGGTTGAGCACTCGCTTTGCAAGCGAAGAGACCTGAGTTCGATTCCAGGTAGAGGGCGAAACCTTGGGCAAGTTTCCTTACTCCACACAGAGCCTAATAATAATCCCTCAAAACCAAAACCAATAATAAATTGGTCATTTTCAATCTACGACTGTTTGTGGGACATTGCTGTGCGCAATTGGCTGCCGCATTCGCCCACAAATTTACAGTCAATTCACTTTACAGTGAGTTCTGTGAAGCGCTTTGGGACGTCGAGAAGGCGTGAAAAGCGCAATATCAAATGCAAGGATTATTATCATCATCACAGATCTATAGATGTTTCATTGTGTGCCCCTTGCTATTGCTGTTGAGGTTAAATTTGCATTATTTTAAGAAAAAATAGTATTTGTGACTTATAAAATAATTCTTTACAGAGGCTTTTCTCTTTTACTCAAATGTTCATATTTTAAAAATGTTGTGTGCGTCTGTGTTGTTTGTGTGTGTAAAGGATAGGAGTTTCTAGAATCAGACATCCTGAAAATCTCCAGGAGAGGATGAATACTGTAATAAATAAGAATGTCCATTGTGAAAGATTTAAAGCGCTGTGGTGAACCAAGTTCATCAAATACTGTTCTGGGATCAGTTTTACATCATACTGTACCTTTTTCTTTTTAAAAATATGCTATTTGTCTGTATATTTTTGAGCTCTAAAACAGTGGTATCCATCCATTCATCATCCTTCAATTATTATTATTATTATTATTATCCCAAAGCCTGGCATTTGTAGTTTTTTGTATCTGTTCTGTGTTTTTGGTTACTTCCGAGCTTAATAAGTGAGCAACAATGCCGGCTTACAAACCACAGTTAGTCAGTCAGTCGCTTATAATAATAGCCACAGGTTCTATTTATTCAATGGGGAAATATTTTCACAATTTCGCTGAGCCTATAAATATGAGGTGTCTGCGTTTTGATGCCTGTTTTATCACTTGCTGATGGTTTATCATCTCCAGAGAAGTTAGCAATTTGAAAATTTTCTCTCATATTGAAGGCTGGTTTGTTTGTGTGTTGGATGCTCTCCCTCTCGCTCTCCTCCACCTGAGAGAAAAAAATAATACAATAGAGCATCTGTCTTTAGGGCTGTGTAACTTTTACAGACTTCACTCTGTGGTCAGGTGACTATTTTTCCTCATTTATTGTCCATCAATCTTTATCCTGCTTTTCTCTCTTGTTTTTAGAATTGACAGTTATGTAGCCACCTGTGCTATAATAATCCTTACATTTCATATAGCACCTTATCATGTCTTTGCAGAATATATTGTAAAGTGAACTGACTGGATATTTTGTGGGCACAACATGCACAACAGTGCTCACAGTTGTGGATTGAATGACCATATTATTATTAGTGTTATTATTATTTGAGGGAATTATAACCAGAAAGTGATCCACCAAGCAATTAACAACCAGGTTCTTGCTTACGGCTCGGTCAATTAAAATGAACAGACTGAATTAAATGGTCCACAAAAATACTCTGGTTTCTGATGCTAAAATGTACAGTTAGGTCTGAGGCATTCCATCGTTGAACACCTTGTAAAATTATTAACTATGTGAAGCCCACAGTTGTGGATTGAATGACCATATTATTATATTTAGTCAGAACGATTACAACTGTCTGCTTACTTGCATATTTCATAAATTGAAGATAAGACATTACTCCCTTCCCCTACGCTTGTAAGCCAGGGTCACTTGTGCTCGCACTGTACAATTCGCTTGTAGTGCTTCACTGTGGTGTCTGGGCACCCGAGCTGGGGGTGGGAGTCGAGGAGGAATGGAGTTCCAGAGAGCGGGGCAGAATGGTTGACATAGGAACAGAAGTAGGCCATTCAGCCCCCCGAGCCTGTCCCACCATTCTATTAGATTACGCCCGATCTGTATCTCAACTACAATTACCCAGAGGACACAGATTTAAGATAATTTGCAAAACAACAACAAAATTACATTCATAGAGCGCCCTTCACATCAGGAGGACATCCCAAGGCGCTGGACAGTCGGGTCAGGACCTGAGCATGGGGGAGGGGTGGTATAGGGGTGAGGGAAGGCAGAGAGGTGGAAGGGCAACTGAAGGCATGATCGAAGAGGAGGGTCTTGAGATCGGCCTTGAAGGAGGCAAGAAAGGAAGCGAGGCGAAGGGACTGTGGGATGGAGTTCCAGAGTGTGGGGGTAGAGAGGCTGAAAGCCTGGCCACCGATGGTCGGGCAGGAGACAAGGAGCAAGTTGGAGCCCGCTGAATGGTGGGAGCGGGCAGGTTGGTAGGAGGTCAGAGAGGTAGGAGGGGCAAGGCCTTGATGGATGGCCTTGAAAATGAGGATGAGGAAAAGAACCAGAGGGAAGATGAGGAGACTTTTTTTTGTGTGTTGTGGTTTGTTGTGGTCTGGATAATGCTACCTGAAAGGGTGTCGGCAATAGACTCGATAGTATCTTTCAAAGGGGAATTGGATAGGGACTTGAAAAGGAAAAAATGTGCAGGCCTATGGGGTAAAAGCGGGGGAGTGGGACTAGTTGCTTAGCTCTTTCAAAGATGGACTATGGGCCAAATGATTCTATAAGCTGCCGAGGCCATCTCCATGTGTAGCCAACTGTGAGCAAATGTGAGATGGGCCCCATGAAAGAGATGATAGCAATCAGAAAACTGTCGGAAACGTGTGGGAAACGGTTACTAGTTTCAGCTGTTATTTATTATAATGTATAAAATTCATATAGAAGCCCCCCCCCCCCCCCCCCCGATCACCAGAAACTTGCTCTGAAATAAAACCTTCTTTAGCGTCAGGTTTCAGGTCAGCAAAAGTTCTCTTTCCCTTTAAGCCCTGGAGTCGTTTGCAGTGGAATTTTGTGTTGGTTTCGTGCTGTGTCCAGTGTGTGCCAGCAACATAATCCTTACGTACTAACCCAGGCCAGATGTGGGTAATTGACGGGTGATATTACACTTTGTGTTGGTGTATGGTTTGTTCTTGGCTTTGCCTCCTGCTCCAGATGAGGGTCGGGTGTGGGTGTGGCTCATATATAGTTATTGTCAGATACTGTTAATGTTGTAAGTGCTGAAAGTTTAGAGGATGAACTGTCAACTTAATTAAAATAGTCTTTCAGCACATGATGATGATAATAATAATAATCCTTGCATTCGATATAGCGCCTTATTGTGTTTTCAAGACATCTCAAAGCTCTTCACAGGATACGCTGTAAAGTGTACCAGAACAACAACAAAATTACATTTGTGTAGAGCCTTTCACATCGGGAGGATATCCCAAGGCGCTAACCGTAGGCACTACAAGTGTAGTAACTGTATATTTTGTGGGGTGAAACCCGGCAGCTAATTGCGTATAACAATATCTCACACAGTTGTGAATTGAGTGACCGTATTATTATTTTATTTCTTGAAGGGATTATTACCCCTGGAAAGAGATCCGCCAATCGACTTAACAACCAGGTTCCTACTTACTGCTAGGTAAACAGGCGTATGGGGTAAGGAAGTAAGGAGTAAGGAAACTTGCTCGGGAATCGAACCCCGGTCCTCTCGCTTGTGAGGCGAATGCTCTAACCAATACTCTACAGAACTCCACGTCTCTCTGTTCAAATGGACCTTCTGACCCAGAGGCAAGTGAGTGCCATAAACTGAGTCAGGCTGTCACTTTTGACAATGTGGTGTTGTGTATTTATCCGTCTTTTTGTTTTTAACAGTAAGCACGTAAAACCTGAAGAAAAGTACGTGTGACGATGCTTCGAGGGATTTTCTGACTGGATTAGCCCGGAATTGTTTCTGCGATTGTTTGCTGTGATCCTGATGAGCTGGTTGATTCTACTGTGTTTCGGGTGGCATTAAGAGGTGGAGAAGCTACTCGCGGGTCCTCAAATAATGTTCTGACCGAGAGGCGAGAAATACTGCACCCAAATCACGTTCGCGGCTGCAGACTGAAAACATGTGACGTCCTCCCTGTTGTCTGCGTTGGAGGCGACAGAGGAAAGGAAAGACAATTGTGCAGGTCTGCGGGATCATGATGTTTCGGGATCAGGTTGGCGTGCTGGCCGGGTGGTTCAAAGGCTGGAACGAATGCGAGCAGACGGTGGCTCTCCTGTCTCTGCTCAAGAGGGTCAGTCGGACACAGGCTCGCTTCCTTCAGATCTGCCTGGAACACTCACTGGCCAACTGCACTGAGATCCACATATTGGAGGGAGAGGCCAATGACCCCGGTGAGCAACTCGCTAGGTCTCATACTTTTTCACACACACTCTCTCGTGTGCGCTCGCTCTCTCTCGCGTTCGCTCTCTTTCGCGCGCGCTCTTTCTTTCTCTCGCGCGCGCTCTTTCTTTCTCTCGCGCGCGCTCTTTCTTTCTCTCGCGCGCGCTCTTTCTTTCTCTCGCGCGCGCTCTTTCTTTCTCTCGCGCGCGCTCTTTCTTTCTCTCGCGCGCGCTCTTTCTTTGTCTCGCGCGCGCTCTTTCTTTCTCTCGCGCGCGCTCTTTCTTTCTCTCGCGCGCGCTTTCTTTCGAGCGCTCTCTCTTTTGCACGCGCGCTAAAGTAGGAACCTGCTTGTTAGTCAATTGGTGGATTGCTTTTCCAGGAGTAATAATCCCTTCAAATAATAATAATTTGGTCACTGAAACCACGACGGTTTCTGGGACACTGTGTATGAGGAAACTTGCCTAACATTTTCACCCTGCCCTATAATCGAACCCGGGTCCTCTCGTTTTTGAGGCGAATGCTCTAACTACTAAACTACAGGACGCCTTTGAAAAAGTGCAACAGATTGCAATAGTCTGTTTATGGCGTAGAGGCTCAGCCTTTCCCTGGGGAGAGGGTGGTGCAGACTCCGATTGAGTCACTCTGGACCTTTTGCACATTTCAGGCATCCAGCTGGACAGCAGATCGCTTCCCTGTCCTGGGGGCCAGGGAGTAGTGTGTGTGATGTGGGCGATGCTTAAGAGGACAGGATAAAGGGAGAGCTTAAACTTCTTTTAATTCAACATAACTGTCGGAAAAGACAAACTTACCCAACGTTTCACCCTGTCCTGCCCGGGAATCGAACTCGGGTCCTCTTGCTTGCAAGTCAAGCGCTCTAACCATTAGCCTACAGGACTATTTTTCTCTTTTGAGAATTGTCTTCAAAAGGTAATAGGGATAAATATAAGATAAGTATGGCCACGAGTTAGTTGTAAACCAGTGCAATTAAATAAATAAATAATTCCATGCTTAACCTTGCTCCCCGGTTTATCTCTAGTGTTTTAATTCGCCATGCTTTCTAAAATGCACTTTAATGAACCGTAATGTAATGGAGATTTTAATATGTTATTTTTTCCCTGCCTTCCGGGAATGTGTTATGCTGTGTGTAGGAGGCAGAGAGAGAGTGAGATAAAAAAGCAGTTGATGGAATTTTTAGATTGTTTTTGCCCCACGATGGGAAACAGCGCTGGCTTGGTGCGCGGTTGTGGTTTTCACTTTTGTTTTTAAAAGATTTGTTTCTTCCTGATTGCTGCATGGCCTTCAATGGTCCTGCACTTCGACTATCAACCCATCTGAGTGGAGATGTTTTGCCTGTTGTCTCACAGACAGCAGCAACAATTAAAGAGTCCCTTCCCCCCACTTCCAATATCTTAGCTCATATGCAGTCAGATCCCTGTTATAACATAGTCATTTTGGATACATAAAATCAGGTCCCATGTTATAATATGCTGTTAGACAATAACTGATGGTTAGTGCACAGGAAACCATTTCTTGCGGTTGTTAGACTACAAGGAGGACTTGCGTGCGAGAAGTGTACCGCACTTCAAGTATCGAAGACATGATGAGGTGGTATATCAAGTGCAAGGATTACGACTGTTTGTGGGACGCTGCTGTGCGCTATTGGCTGCTGTGTTTCGCCCACAAAATATACCGTCAATTCACTTTACAGTGTATTCTGTGAAGCCCTTTGAGATGTCTTGAAGGTGTGATGAGGTGCTATATGAAATGCGAGGATTATTATTATACTGCAGGACCATGTTACAACTACATTCTATACTGTTATAATATGGAATGAATGCGTAAAGAAAGGTTGTTGAGGGAAGTTACTGAAAAGCTTCCAGACTCACAACATTCCAACCCAGTTTAAGCAAAGAAGAGGTGGGGGGAGTCGAGGAACATTAGCCATCATTTGTCCTTACCTCAAATCAACTGTGTTTTCTCCAAAGGAAAAGTTATGGGGAAAGAAATCATACAAACCAGAGTTAGTAACCAAATTTAAGATTTTTAAAAATGCAAACAAGAGATGAGATTATTTTTTCTTCACAACAACTTGCGCCCCTCGCACAGGGTAGCGTCCCAGAACGCTTGACGGTGGCGGAGGACGACACCAAGCTGGGGGAGGGGGAGGTTACCGTAGGCATGACTGAAAAGGAAGGTCTTCAGGCGTGATCTGAAAGATGGGGAAGGGAGGGCCAAGGTGGAGGGATAGAAGAAGAGTGGAAATCCCCAAAATGTGGTTGAAGCATAATTCCATTTTTAAAAGGAATTGTACTATTAAATGATAAAGAAAAATGTAAAAGTGTAATGGGTTAAAGGGCAGAGTAGTGGTATGAAATGGATCACTGTTTCAGAGTTCAGGCATTGTGAGCTGAATGGCTGCCTTCATTGCAGTCAAATCCTATGATTTGATTCTATAAATACTGCTCAGCGATTTTATTTATGTCACATCTGAGATCCCAGAATAATCTTTTTGAAACCAATTATCCTTATCTTTTCAAGTACAATTGTGTGTCACTCTCGTTTCCAGATCCCCAAATAGTCTATTGTAATCTCTTTTCAAAACCATTATCTTTACCTTTGAAGCATAATTTGCTGGAACAGCCTTCTGAAAGGTGCTCAGTGAATTGTAATTGTTTCCTAACCCCTACGTACGCCTGTGCCATCGATGCTTCAAAGCTCAGCTATTTTTGTCTTACTCCCTCGGGGTGTGTGACTCAGTGAGTTTAAATACTGTTTTCACAATTCGCTGCCTTCCTGAGCCAGGCCCTCACATTTACATGGAACTCCTGAATTGCTGTTCGTATTCAAAGTGTTGGTTTACAGGCCACCCCAGTCCCCTTTGATCCCCATTCGGTAAGGCCTGTGGTTGGTTTTGCTACAGGGGGGAAAGTCACATTCTCTCCTCACTGCCTGTCTGATTCGCCAGTGGTACCGTCTGGGATTTTCCTTTTGTTTGTACTCCTGATGCTTCCACCCACCTCTGGGGAATCACCCATGGGGGAGAAGCTTGTTTCTTCTCGGTGTTGAACTCCGCAGCCTCTCATTTTTCATGAGGGCTGGAGATGGCAATAGGTGTTGATGACTGGAGGCTTTCATTTGATCATAAATATCGCTTTATGAGTGGACATTCGTCCCATTGAGCCAATGTTTGTGCTCGCTCTCTCCACTCCTTGTGGAGTCCTGTAATGTATTGGTTAGCATGCTCGCCTCGCAAGTGAGAGGCCCTGGGTTCAATTCCCAGACGCGAAATCCTAGGCAGGTTTCCTTATTATACACACACACACATCTCTGTTTACCTAGCAGAAAGTAGGAACCTGCTTGTCCCCTCTCAATTAGTTGTATTACAAAATGTTGGACCCTCACAGTTGTAAGAGTTCAACTGTGTTTCAGTCCGTGCCTTGCTGTTGTCAATGTGAATGTTCTGACCTTGACTGGCTTGTTGTAATGTTTGGAAACACTTGTGTGATTAGGCTGGATATTTGGGGAGAGAATTTATTTTAAAATCTCCCACAGAACTACGCGTTTTGTTTGTGTGACCTGATTTACATTGCCTTTTTTGAAAAGTGAATTTCTTGATTCCGGCGGAATGATCCTGAATGGAATTACAGTCCAGCTTCAAAGCTCACGCTAACTTTGATTGTTTCACAATTTCATTTCTGTGCTCCGTTTCAAATTCACAGCCTATGGGTGCTGGGGATGGAAATGACTAGTGTAGTGGAAAGCTGCAAAAAAGATTCTGTCTTCAAGCATCTGTTATTGAAAACAAAAGGCCTTATCCCTCTGCCTTGCTCCCTCCTTCCCCATCTTCAGGTCGTGCCTGAAGACCTTCTTCTTTGACCATGCCTACGGTCACCTACTCCTCCCACAGCCGCTGCCCTGCATGAGGGGCACTGTGTAAATGCAAGTTGTTGTTGTTACAACTTGATTGCAATTATTGTGAAATGCTTTGGGACATTTTAACTTGACGAAAAAAATTTTTTAAAAGAAAAAAACATTGTTTTGAAACACTTTGGTTTTTTTTCCAGCATTTGTCAGTCATTGGCATCAGGAACCGAAGGAACAGGTTGTTCTGCAGCTGCTGTCACACCTGCCTCTGCTCCAGCCAGGAAACGTGGAGGCAAAGTCCGAGTACATGAAGCTGCTGCAGAAAGTCCTGTCCTATTCCATCGACAGTAACCTGTTCATAGAGGAGAGCCGACAGCTGCTGTCTTATGCACTGATCCACCCGGCCACCTCGCTAGAGGATCGGAGCTCCATGGCCTTGTGGTTGACTCACTTGGAGGAGCGCATGTCAAGTAACTACAGCTCTCAGAGCGCTAGCCGGGCAGACTCTGTGTACGCTGGCGTTTACAACCACAACCAGCGGCAGAATGTGGAGGACAAGCTGAATGAGTGGCAGAACCGAGCGGACTGTGGCATGTATGTCACGGTGCCCTCCTGGCATGACAAGCCCACGTCCTGTGAGAACGGCCACTTGCCACTGCACACGTCAGTGTCTGTGCCGTCTGCCATGAACAGCGTGGGCAGCAACACAAGCACAGGTAAGGGCCGGCTGGCTTTGGGTCTGAATTTAATAAGAGATTGTCACAAAGCAAAATGGAATGGGAGGGAGATTAGAGAATATTTCTCTTTATGGAAGGTGATTTGTCTGAAATTCTCTGTCACATTAGCTGCTGTGTGATAGTTCAGCCCTACTCACTTTTCACTCACTAGGAAACATCTTTAAACCCGTAGATGTCAATAAAGTGCTCACTTCACAAACAAGAGGACCTGGGTTTGATTCCCGGTCGGGTCGTGAAACCTCAGGCAGGTTTCTTTACTCCACACACGCGCTTCGGTTTACACAGCAGTAAGTAGGAACCCAGTTGTTAGTCGATTGACCGATCACTTTTCTGAGGGTAAAAATCCCTTAATTAATAAATAAATTATTTGTTCACTCAATTCCCGACTGTTTGTGGGATACTGCTGTGCGCAATTGGCTGCTGCATTTCGCCCACAGAATATATACTTTACAATGTATTCTGTGAAGCGCTTTGAGACGTCGCAACAATGTGATAAGGCACTATATCAAATGCAAGGATTATTATTCTTCTAATCTTCTGTACGACCAAGCCCTAACATTATGAGAGGCTTGAGGAGTCAGGGTTATGGTGAGGTAAATAGTTTGTTTGCGCTGGTTGGCGGTTAGGAGAATGCAGAAATTGACAGTAACCGTGTGTGGTTGGAACGTTGGAATTCTCAAATCATCGTTGGCAGCAGATCCCAGAGATCTTTACAAGGGAATTGAATGAATGTTTGAAAAGGAGCAATACTGAAAGCTGTGGAGGCGAGCAAGGGAATGGGATTAGATTTAGGTGTCTGTCTTGTGTGACAAGTAAAAACATTAGAAAGGAATTGATGGCTTCACGTGCGTGTGTGTCTGCGTTGTAACATTCTGCAGTTCTCTTATCAAACCCAATGTCTTTTCCCTGAGCTTCGTCATCCTGAGCTCTGACTACAGCTTGTTGGAAGTTGTCATTTATGTCAATTAGTTTCATGTGCGTTTCATTCACAGAATGCCACTGATCTAAGGTTTTAATTGACTGTGTGCAGAGGAGAAAAACAGCTGTAGCTTTATACTGGCTTGAGGCATTTTTGTTCCATTCTATATATAGGCTGACGCCATGGCTTGGGGCTGAGTACTCCGTGTTCTCTCTAGCTTTTTAAACTACACATGTTTTCTATTATTATATAACATCTGCCTGGGACATTTTTCTGACCGCTGTTTCAATCAGTTATTCTCACCCCTTCAGTAGGACCCTCTTCCTACTACTTTCTACGTCCAGAAGAGGGGTGTGGGTGGGTGGGGGAGGGTTGGATGGAGGGAGGGTGAAACTGCAGTGTCTGCCAAAGCTGCTTTTCACAAGGAAAAGGTGTGCATGAGGGTATCAAGGAAATTTCAGTTGGACATTCTCGCTCTTTTCAAATATATGTGGTTGGGTGGGTTGTGTTGGGGGAGAGAAAGCAGCAGGCAGAAACGATCTGAATTTCAGAAAATGTCATAGATAAATTCTTCTCCCATTACTCCATGGTGAAATTCCATTGCATTGCTTTGAGGTATTTTTTTTGGTCAGCACGGTGTCTGACACAGGCGAAAACCCATCACCAAGAGTCTTCAATCCCAAATGAGAATTCCATGCATCCCGCCTACATGTGGAAATCCCAGAGATAGATTGTTGGAATGGAATGCGCACTCTCTCCCTAGAGGAACGCATCCTGCTTACCTAATTCTGGAGTGAATGACCAATGAATAGGGATGATTGTTGGCTCGAATACCAGGAGAAACTCCAGGGATATGTTGTTAAATGCTTCAGGTCAAATGGTGGGATTGTATCATTTTACTGTTGTTTCCACCCAATTTCCTCAACTTGATTCTTGAAGTGATGCTGCACTTTCTACCCACCAAGTTAGTACTGCATTGATTCATCTGTTTTTATTCTAACTCTAATTTCTGGTGACCAGTTTATCTTGGCTGTGCAGTTGCATACCTCACATAACTTGGATTGTCTGTGGCTTAAAATCCACAGAATTTTACCCATAGACAGGAAATGTGTCCGGTTTGGCCTTAAAACTAGTGCGTTCAGTTATGCCTTCACTACATCACTCTATAATCTTCTCTGTTCTTCTGCTACCTCCACGAAAGGGGAGGGAGGAAGATACGTAATGCACATAGCTGGGCACTTTCAGTAATGGAAAATATTTGGTTGAGGATTCTATTTTTGGTTGCTGTGTAGATTTTGGAAAGGTTTTCCGAAGGAAACTTTCAGTCGGTTAATCTCTTTTTTTAAAATTATTAACTGTGCATGTGGGCTTTCCCCAATGGGCCTGCTGGATAGATAACCTGCTATGGAAGGTGGGCTGAGAAGTATGTACGCACACCAGGAAAGTTGATATGTGCTGACTCAGGTGGAGGGGTGGTGGGCTGCATTAATCCCATCCACCTATTCAGGTGGACATTAAAGATCCCAGGATCCAATTCCGGTGCCCTGGCTGACAATTACAGGCATCTGTAGGTGTAAGTTAGACCGTGCCTTCGGTCACCCTCCTAACCTGCCTGCCCTCCACCCCTCCTGATCCCAACCTCCAGCTCGGGTGTGGATCCCTGACTGTCCAGTGCGTTGGGATGTTCTCCTGACATGAAAGGCACTACACAAATGCAATTTGTTGTTGTTGTTTGTTTGCACTTCCTGAGAAGAGTACACCTCGGAAATATTCTCTAAGTTTCTACTCTTCCTCTTCCCTACCTCCGCTCACCAATTCCCTTTTCACACAAGGTTTTCCAGCCCCCCCCCACCCCGTTTCCAAACATTGTGAAAACTGCATCTATGTTTGAGAAATATATCTGACTGATTGAGATTATCGTGGGCTCTCGTCCCCATCGCCATCACACATGTTTCTTAACAGAATTGGAGCGGGGTGAATCACGTGATCTTTAAGTTTATTCTCGTCTTTTTTTTCCTTTCTCGCTCCCCACCCCCACCAGTGCCCTGACTTGTATGGGACTGTGGAGTCCTGTAGCTCAGTGGTTAAAGCACTCGCATCGTAAGCGAGAGGACCTAGGGTTAATCTCCCAGGACAGAGCGAAACTTTAGGCAAGTTTCCTTACGCCACGCGCCTCTGTTTGCCTAGCAGTAAGTAGGAACCCAGTTGTTAGTTGATTGACGGATCGCTTTTCTGGGGATAATAGCGACTTAAAATAAAAAAAAGGTCACTCAATCTACTGTTTGTGGGACACTGCTGTGCGCAATTGGCTGTCATATTTCACCCTCAAAATGGGTAGTCAGTACACTTTACAGTAAAGCCTGTGAAGCACTTTGAGACAGACGTCTCAAAGACGTGATGAGGCACTATATCAAATGCCAGGATTATTATTATTAAATTTGTTTGTGACTATTTCAACACAAAAGTTATTTGTTTCCAGTTGCAGTTCTGCCAGGCCAAACCCAACACAGCCCCCTGAAGCGCTCTGTATCGCTCACCCCGCCAATCAGTATGCCCAGCCAGTCCCTGATCAGCGAGTGGATGTCACCAGATGATCTGCGCTCCAGGACGGTGTACGTCCCCGCAGACCACGCCCCGCTGTCGCCCCAGAGCAGCATCGCCTCCTCGGGGAGTGGGGGCAGCGAGCAGACAGACGAGCAGGGCTCCAGCCGCAATACCTTTCACGAGGACGGCAGTGGAATGAAAGGTAAGACAGACCCTTACCCTGCATTGCCCTGGCCTGTACACCACAATCCCCACCCACCGCTTTTTGAGGCAGTGGTCAACCTGGCTCAGTCAGTATTATTCCTGTCTCTTGAGACGCCCTGTGTGAGCAAGTTGTTGTTGGATTTCGCCCACAAAATACACAGTCTGTATTGTCAAATGTTTCATCTTAAGACATTAAACCGAGATCCCGTTTAGCTGTCAATTAAACAAATTCAGTGAAGCTGTTGTGAAGGGAACTAGGAACATAGGAACAAGAGGAGGCCATTCAGACCTTCAAGCCTGTTCCTCCATTCTATTAGATCATGACTGATCTGTACCTCAACACCAATTACCTGCCTTTGTCCCATATCGTGGTTGCTCAAGCCAACAATCCTCCCTCTTCATTGGTCATTCACTTTCTCAGCAGTTTAACATGATGAGGGCTATAAAATGGAAGTTTTGTTTAATAACTGGTAAAATCTCTTGAGGGATTGTTCATTTACTCCTTGTTGACAACGTTAGTTTCTATAATGTGTTGACAATAGGCTTGGATCATATATGTGTCCGTGAATAATCTCTCCAAAGCATTAAGTGGCAGCTCAGAATGAAAGCTATCATCCCTTGAAGTGTGACTTCACTTGTATGGCTAACATTTGCCAGTAATGGAAACTCAAGTCTGAAGTGTTTCATGCAATAAGAAGACCTTGTTTGAAGTTCTCTGCTTCCCTTCTAAACAAAGCCCTTGAACAAGTTAGACTCAAATCGACAGTTTTAAATTGTCGGACTAAAACTCTGTTTCCTTTTAAAATGGAATTAGACAAACATTTGGGAACTGAATAGTTGTAATAATCCTTGCCTTTGACATAGCGCTTTTTGATATAGCCGAATGTGTCTATTTTCCATTCAGCTTCGTTCCATCCAATCTTGTGGGGAAGTCTGAATCCATGAGTCACAGCAAAGCGGGTTGACATTTGCGTAAAAATGAGTAATTGGTTATAGACACAATCGACCTACATCATCTGTTAGACAATGGGTACACAGAACACAAAATTGATTTCTTCCTAAATATCATATTTCTGTTGGAAAAATCTCTCCTATAAGCAGTGAATTGGGTGCCTGTTCACATTGACCGTCAGGCATTTATTCTTTTGCATCCTGCACTGCGAGAGCTCAGAATCGAATCTGATCCATGGAGCTGATAATTACCGTGCAATGTGAGATAAGGGCTACATGCCCCAGTTACTGAGAACTTTGACTGTTCCAATAAACGCGTTTATTTTAACATTTAGCTGTTAAACTAATCCTCATTTTATGAATGGTGTAAATTGCAGCCGCACGGAAGCTGGTTTGTAACTGGAGAAATGGAGGAAGGCACTTTCATTTTTATAGCTGCTTATCATATCGACATCAGGAATTACATCTTTACTCCACACGCCTCTGTTTACCTAGCACAAGTAGAAACCTGGTTGTTAGTCGATTGGCGGATTGCTGTTCTGGGGGTAATAAATAATTCCTCTATAAATAAAAGTAATAATTTGTTCACTCAATGCATGACTGTTTGTGGGACACTGCTGTTATAATATATTATAATATTAATCCTTGAGTTTGATATAGTGCCTTATCATGTCTTCAAGATGTCTCAAAGCGCTTCACACGATATTGTAAAGTGTGGTGACTGTGTTTTGTGGGCAGACTGGTGCGCTCCATTTCTGTCATTGATCCAGTTATTAATCTCTTTCCCCCCAGATGTTCCCACTTGGTTGAAAAGTCTTCGGCTACACAAGTATGCATCGCTCTTTTCTCAGCTAACTTACGAGGAGATGATGACACTGACAGAACAACAGCTGGAGTGTCAGGTCTGTAACTTTATTTGTTAGAGAGAGGGGAGAAAAGAGTGAGATGTGGTGGATAAGGAGCTTTTGACCTTGTGATAGGACTGAATGAACAGAAAGGAGCCATTCCCGCTTACCTTCTCCTTTAACATCTTTGATTTGCCTACAGAAGGTCACAAAAGGGGCCCGGCACAAAATCGCCCTGAGCATTCAGAAGCTACGCGAGCGACAAGGCGTGTTGAAATCCCTGGAAAAGGTGAGCTGAATTCCTGTTGTCCTAGTGACCACTGGAAAAGCAACTGATCATGGAGTCTGTATGGAATTGATCTTTGTCCATTCATAGAAATCGATGTTCAGGATTTGAACAGACCCATTAAAGATCTTCTGGTTGGTACCATAGTTTGAGATACTGTGTGGGTCATGTTTTGGGCCATGTGTCAATGCAATGGAGCATAGGAACCGGAGGAGCCTATTCAGCCCCTTGAGCCTGTTCTGCCATTTAAATCTGACCATGGCTGATCTGTACCTCAACTCCAATTACCCGTCTTTGCCCCGTATCCCTTGATACACTGACCTAACAAACATCTGTCCACCTAAGTCTGGACAATGGGAATTGATCCAGCCATAATCCTCAGCCTTTTGAGAGAGAGAGAGAGAGTTCCAGATTTCCACTACCCTTTGTATATCTTTTGAATTGGGAATATAAGCTAAGGTCTTGTCTGCCTGTTGAAGTGGACATAAAAGATCCCAAAACACTTATTCATTGCTGTTCGTGGGGAACTTGATGTGCGTAAATTATGCTGTTTTCCCAAATATAGTGATTTGACAGCAATTAGCTGTGAAGTCCTGTAGAGACGTTTTGGTCTGACCTTGAACGGCATGAAACTGAAAAGGATTACTATTTTAATACCTGTCCTTACCCTGAACAGGACATTCTCGAGGGGGGAAACCTACGGAACGCTCTCCAGGAGCTACAGCAGATAGTGATCACCCCTATCAAAGCTTACAGCCTTCAGAGAGCCCCCAGGGAGGCCCTAAACCCTGACCTCAGCAAATCTTCCCCCAGTGCCGGGGAGCTGAGTGGGGACACCCGAACTAACAAAGCCCCTGGTGAGAAGGGCTTTCAGATTTCGCACGCCTCGCCCTGTGATGGGGAGTCGGCAGCAGCTCCTGTGCCTGAAGGAGACATCGCTGGACAGTTCACCAGAGTCATGGGCAAAGGTCAGTGTGTATGACAGCAGGGCTGAGTGAGTCTATTTAGCACAGTAGGTCAAACCCCATGTTGGGACTTAATAATAAATAAAAATAATAATAATCCTTGCATTTAATTTAGAGCCTTATTATGTCTTTGAGGTGTCTCAAAACACATCACAGAATATACTGTAAAGTGAATTTGACTGTATATTTTGTGAGCGACTTTGGCTCAAAATACACACTGACGCACATAGGAACATGCAGAGACTATTCAGCCCCTCAAGCCTGTTCCTGTGCTGATCTGTACCTCAACTCCAATTACCTGCCCTATTTCCTCTCTCTGTGCCTCTAAAAATGCAGTGCTTTCTCCTCTTCCCCCCTCCCCAGCAATGCACTGAAATAATCTGCTTAAGCTGTGAGCTCAAAGTGGGTTTTAAGAATGAATCATTGATTGCACTAACCTGCCACCCGTTCTTTATCTCCCAGTTTGCACTCAGCTGCTGGTGTCCAGACCAGATGAAGAAAATATAAGCTCTTACTTGCAGCTGCTAGAGAAGTGCCTGACTCATGAGGTGGGTAATAACATCACCACAGAATTAAAATGGCACTAAAATTATCACGTCTTCAAGACGTCTTAAAGCGTTTCATAGAATATACTGTGAAGTGAATTGACTGTATATTTTGTGGGCAAAACTGCCTGCTTTCTCAAGCTTGCCCTTGCAATTAGATGTTACACTTCCCCTGCAGAATCTTTCCTAAAGGTTTGCCTTGCTCACTGTCCGTGCTGTTACTTTGAACGTTGCTGTGGCTCACCTTGCACTAAACACTGCGTGTGGCTCGCATTCTATGGTTGCAGGCTTTCACTGAAACGCAGAAGAAAAGGTTATTCTCCTGGAAGCAGCAGGTCTTTAAGCTATTGAGGTCTTTCCCCAGGAAGTCCCTCCTAGAGATGCCTGGTGTCCGCCAACAGAGAAGGTGAGTATTCATGCATTACCCCCCCTTACTTCCCCTAAACCATGTCCCCCTCCCAGCCTGGCCCACCATCGGCAGTCGGGCCTTCAGCCTCTCTGCTCCCATCTTTTGGAACTCCATCCTACAGTCCCTCCGCCTCGCTCACTCCCTTACCTCCTTCAAGGCCCGTCTCAAGACCCTCCTCTTCGACTGCGCCTTCATTCACCGTCCTACCCATGCCCTCCACCCCTCCTGATCACAACCCCCAGCTCGGGTCCAAATTCCTGACTGTCTTGGGTGTCTTCCCAGCGTGAAAGGCGCTGTGTATATGTCAGTTGTTGTTAAATATTGGGCACGGGTCGATTTTAATGGGGCAGATTTTGACCGAGGAATGGTTACAATTTGAATGTACAAGGGCAGCTGAAAAATTTGGTTGTTAATCTGTTTTAGCTGCTGTGAGAATGTGCTTTACATACTCCCACAGCCTTGGTTCTATTTTCGTTCATGGTGTGGGGAAGGTGAGAAGAGACTTGAGTTGCAAACAAACTGTGGGGGTGGGGAGGGGAGGAGAAAGAGAGACCAAGGAAGAACCAAGTTTATTTCAGGTATGCTCAGCTACGTTTAGTAATGAATTTAAACTTTAAAACAACAAGGTGCAGGAAAGAGTTCCTAGTCAGGGACAAGACGTGGAGGGGAAGGACAGCTGGTAGTTGAATCTGACCCCCGGGTTACGTACAGCTTTAATAGTCTTAGGGAAAGGCTGGGGGGTAAGGAGGTCAGAACTACAGGAGAGAACACGTTGCGGAAGCCAAGGAGTATGGTTTGTCTGGTCGAAGTTCAGCTGCAGGAAGTTTGCGCTCATCCAGGCCTTGATGTCTGACAGACAAGCTGACGGGACATCAGCGGACTGGGAGTCGCAGCTGGAGAGGAGAAATAGATTGGCAGTTCACCCCGTGTCTGCGGATGTCATCACTGAGAGGGAGCGTGTAGATGAGGAAAAGGAGGGGGTGAGGGTGGAATGTGCAGTGTTAACCATTGCCAAGCCAACACTTCCACACAGTTGGACACAAAGTGCTCTTACATCAATGCTGGCACCTCCAGTAAGTGCCACTTTGTGCTGTTACACCACTCTAGGACTTTGTGTATGCCAAGTTTCAGCTGGGAACCCACAGGCCCAGTCGCACCCATATCATTACCAGAGCAGTCAAGGTGAGTGAATGCCACAGGTTGTTACTATATTTAGGACAATCGCTGGCAATGATTAACCATTGTTTAAACCACTTGAGAAATTTTTATGAACATTAGCAGAACTCTAGAATCAATTACTACCTTAACCTTGCCAGTGGTCTATTATTTACAGTGTCTAGGTTGGGGGGGGGGGCGATCAATATGTGTTAACCGTCAACTTATTCCTTGTGTGTGCTGGTGTTAGGGTACCCCAGTGTTGGTGAATGTTAACTTGACACGAGTCTCTCCTCTTCCACCGCGCCTTGATCACCCTCCTAACCCCACCCTCCCTGCCCTCCACCCCTCCTGATCCCAATCCCTAGTTCAGGTCCAAACCCCTGACTGTCCAGCTCCTTGGGACGTCCTCCTGACTTGAAAGATGTTGTATAAATGTCACGAGTTGTCATTTTGTCACTCTCGCTCTCTCTGCGTTGAACATGTGTGTAATGGTTTCCATGTGCTTTGTCTCCTTGCCTCTTCACAGCTGGGCTTTTGGTCAGTCCAACTCCCTGCCCACAGCGGGTTCTGTGGGTGGGGGACTCGGGCGGCGAGGCCAGCGGCCGTTCCCGATCCCCCCTCGGGTTCTGTCTGCTGGCCGCATGGGGCTGATCGGCACCTCCCCCAGCGCTGCTGCTGGTGGTCTCAGTGTCTCACCACGACATTCACTCAATCCTCTCACAAGCCAAGGCCGGCAGGTTAGTGTGCGGGGGCCGGCCGGTGGGTCGGTGTGCGGGGGCCGGCCGGTGGGTCGGTGTGCGGGGGCCGGCCGGTGGGTCGGTCGGTGTGCGGGGGCCAGCGGGTCGGTGTGCGGGGGCCGGCCGGCGGGTCGGTGTGCGGGGGCCGGCCGGCGGGTCGGTGTGCGGGGGCCGGCCGGCGGGTCGGTGTGCGGGGGCCGGCCGGCGGGTCGGTGTGCGGGGGCCGGCCGGCGGGTCGGTGTGCGGGGGCCGGCCGGCGGGTCGGTGTGCGGGGGCCGGCCGGTCGGTCGGTGTGCGGGGGCCGGCCGGTGCGTGTGTTAGTACAGTGTTGATGAGCATTGCAATGTTGGTGGTGCCATCCTTCGGATGAGAGGTTGAACCTGTTCAGGTCGATGCTAACGCTATGGCCAAGAATTCCCCCAATAAAATTGGTCACTCGCTTCATTATTCTTTGAGGGTGCTCATATTGGATGCCACTTCTTTTATCCCTCCACCTTGCCCCCTCCTTCCCCATCTTCAGGTCGTGCCTGAAGATCTTCCTCTTCAACGACACCTCTCCCCGGCTCATGATCCGCCACTGTCAAGCGCTCTGGGACATACCCCGTGTGAGGAGTGCAGTGTAAATGCAAATTGTTGTTATCGTTTTCAACTACAAAACTACAGTCATTCCACTTTACAGTAAAATCTTGTGACGTGCGCTTTGAGACGTCCTCTTGACGTGAAAGGAGGGGAAGTGGGGTACTGTTTAATTTGTCTGATGAACTATTTAGTCAAAGCAGCATTGCATTGAAGTAACCCGCTTTCTCTTGCGCCAGAACCTGTGGTTTGCTAACCCAGGAGGCAGTAACAGCATGCCGAGTCAGAGCCGCAGCTGTGTGCATCGCACTCACTCTCTCCCTGTGCACACCTCACCACAAGCCATCCTGATGTTCCAACAGTCAGGTTTGTACCTCTCTCTCTACATCATCTTCACATACACAACACCAAAACAACACGTGTGACTTTCACACGATGGGAGGACGTCCCAAGGCACTGGACAGACGGGGATTTGGACCTTAGCTGGGAGTTGGGATCAGGAGGGGTGAAGGGCAGAGAGGGTGGCCGAAGATACAGTCGAAGAGGAAAGTCTTCAAGTATGATTTGAAGATGAGAAGAGAGGGAGAGAACTGGAGGGATTGAGGCAGGGAGTGCAAGAGATTGGGGGTCATTACCTTTACATTTGACATTTAGTCCAAACCATTTCATATTCTAATCCTCATAATGAAAAATTTCCAATGTTCCCACTAAACTCTTCCAGTGACCGCATTTATACCAATTTACTCCTACTTGCCCTGTCGGAAGCCTGCAGATATGCATATCCTCTTTTATTTTACCACTGTAAGATATTGTGTCTGTACAGAGGGAGGTGGGACGGATGAGGGGAGTTTACTGTGTGCACTGAGAGTTTGTTTCCGTGCTGTGTTCACAGAATGCCAGGTTCCAGTCACAGAGCCTGAGATTAACACCAGGCTGGAGTCACTGTGTCTCAGTATGACGGAGCACGCCTTAGGAGGTGAGTCAGTGAAGTCTGGCAACTAAACCTAACTAAACAAACTCCTCCATGTATTTATTCTCTTCTACCTGCTCTCTCGGCTTTCGCTTGCTCGCTCTCTCCCTCCCTCCTTCTCTCCCTACTTCTCTCTCTCTTCCTCTCCCTTGGCATCCCCCAACCCCATTCTTCCTCTCTCTTGGCCTGTCGCTCTATCTAATAATAATAATAATAATCCTTGCATTTGATACAACGCCTTTAATATAGCATCTCACAGCACTTCATAGAATATATTGCAAAGTGAATTGACCATATATTTTGGATCCCTGGTAAGGCGTGATATAAAATTCAAGGATTATTATTTTCTCTCTGTACCATTTTCCTCTTTTAGGGCTTCCTGATAAAGTAAAAACAAATGTTCCACTAAAACCTCCCTCTCTTTTTCTTTAAAAAATCACAGATGGAGTTGACAAAACATCGACTATTTAGTTCACTGAAACGAACCTCACTTATGAACACTTATTGAGAGACTGACATTTACTCAGCAGGAAATGCCACTAAAGTTCAAGAGGCCACTACACCTTACAATGTCCACCTTTACTGACCTTTATTTAACTTTGGAGGGGAATAGGCCGGTACCCAGACTACTATTCCCTATTCCCCTGGTCTGTCCGTGTTTCTGGTACATTTTTGTTTTTGTTTTTAAAATGTTTTTCCAACGACCATATGCCCGGTCGAAGGGTCCTCTCTACACCGAATGCCCGGTACAAATAGTCCAATCATTTAGCTTCAAGGCTCGGTTAGAGAGAAAAGGGAGAACGAGACAAGAGATTAGTGAATGACAGCACAAGGCAAGTGAGCGGTGCTCCAGGCTGTACGAGGCGAACGCAGGTACCTCTTTGTGCTGGTGTTGTGATGGTCTTTACGATAAACTCTGTCTGGATGCCTTGGTCCCTTTGTCTGCCACACAGGTCTGGTACCCGTGTCCGCACTACACGCCAGTCGTCAGGTCTGGTATTTGTAATCTGTCTTTCACTAATTTATCCTGAAACCTCTGGTCAAACTGTTGCAACAAAAAAGTGCTGAATACAAGTTAAAAAACGTGTGTTTTTTTTACATTTTAAAAAAAGACAGTAATTTGTTCTGAAGCCTGCATTAATTACTAAGGATATTTTTTTCAATTAAAAAAATATATCATTAAAAGCCACGCACGCAGGCTTGCGTTTACCTGCTGTGAAAGTGCATTTATAATTTTTAGAAAAAAGAAAGATTTCACTAACTTGGTGAGCGATTGTTGCGGAGCGGGTGATCAGTTGTGTGTGTGTCTGTGTGTCCAGTGCGTAGCTGACAGGGAAATTGTGCACAATTCTGTTCAGCTTTGAGTAGCTCGAACCGAATGCACTACCGACTAACATGGCACTACCTTAGGGGACCTTCCCTTTGGGATCTCATGAATTTCACCTGGGCTGACTTTCTGACTCCCAAACCTTCTTGTTGGAGATGTCATTGAAAATAATTCAATTTTCTTTTGTTCTCCAAATTTAGGGGTGGGGGTGGTGTGTGATCTTTAGCGGGAGGGTGGTGGTGCAGACCTAACAACTGGCTTGTGGAGCACAACTGACACTTGAATGTTCCCCAAAAAAGAGTTGGTTGTTCTCCTTGATCTCTTGTCCTGATTAGGAGAGGAGATGATAATATTGAACGGCTTGATCTCCGTTATACACAGCAGTGAAAGTCACTGTTTGAGTAGTTCAACGAGGACCTAATTTGAGAGAAAGGGAATGAACGGCCAACTGATCCTGCCCTTTGTGCAAGCCTCAGATTGCTGAGCAGAGAGAGTCCGCGGTTGGTTGTCGGGTCCTCTGTGGTTGGGCCACAGGCGGAGGGGAAGGGAGGCGTTGAAGAGAAACCAAAGCAGATAAACTCCAGTGCATTCAGTTAGTTCCTGCCCCAAGTGTGTAACCAGCAGAATAGTGAGTTCACTTTGCAATTGCGACTGGCTGACTGACTGGCTTGTATTCTGACTTCTGGTGGGGAGCAATTTCATGTCACAGAGTGACCCCCAGTCCTGCCCCTTCTCCCTACAAAACAAACAATAAAAAGTTCAAAAAGTGTGACCGGCAAATTAAATTGTCCCCAATGTCAGTGCTTGAAGAACAAATTATTTCTTTTTATAAGGATGTAAAGAAGGTTAGCCTTTTATTTTTGGAAGAGCGAATTGTGGGGAGGGAGCGGGTGGGTGTGGAGTGTGGGCGGAGAGAGAGAGAGAGAAACCTCTATTGAAATCCTCCCTGTCTCCATGTTAATAAGCTTACAGATTTGTTTAAAGAATTACTAAAGGGTTGTAATTTTCTAGTGTAAAGCACAGATGGTGGGAGGAGAGAGAAACACGTACAGTACATCATTTAAAGAGGTTTAATGTACAATATATAGAAAATGTATGTATGGCAAGGAATGCGCAAATAATAATTCAAGAAAGAGTTTCATCCCCAGGTCCTGTTTATATGAATTGGGTTTGTTTCATTCTTGTGGGCTTGACCACAGATTCTATGTGTTTACATTTTAAAAGGGTGTGGGGAGGAGGGGAGAGAGGGAGATGCACAGAATACACACGCACAGCTTTAAGTCCCCCCCCACCCCCTTATTGTTAACAAAAAAGATTTTCCCCCCCCTCTCACCTCACGTGACTGCTCTTTGGGTGTGTGGATTGGATTGATTGTCGTGTTTCAGGTTTCACTTGGTATCAAACACTGTACCAGCCACAGACCTGATCAGGGAAGATTAAATTGGTGAGGTACTCGGAAACTATTCATCAGTGGATTAAAACTTAAGTTTTGTTAAAGGAAAAATTTCAAACTTGAGGCAGATGGAGGTAGATTCTCATTCCCAGAGATGGTGGGGTTCAGTGAATCAACAGAAAGTTTTTTGGAGTGGGGTGGGGGGGGGGGTTATAAATCAATTATTTGTCTTGGTTTGTACTGAAGTGTTCGTCAACAGAATGCAGTTGGGTCTGAATTTGGAAGCCGTTTTTCTGTTCTTAATAATAATTCAGATTAGTTTAAAGATTTTATGCAAATCTGCACCGCCTTAAATGTTAAGGTTACAAAAATAGGTGGAGTATCTTAGAGTTTACAAATCTCTTTGTTTTGTTTCCTCTTAAAACTAGCGGGGAATCTCTCCTCATGTCTTCACCAGTGTTTGCTCGAGTCGGCCATAGTGATTACTGAGTTGCTTTTCCAATATTCTTGTTGCCCTCTCTTCCGCTCACCTTCCCTCCCCACCCGCAAAATGTCCTATCCTTCCCCCATCATTGAATCCTCCATTAATTAATTATCGTAGCCTCAATTGATATAGATAATCTTCAACCTGGCTTCCAAAAGGATTAACTATGTTCCCTTGGTGAACAGCTGTTAAGGTTAGTTTTAGAAATAAAAATAGCCCATAAAAGAATTTAAGTCTATCCAGCAAAAGTTGAAATTTCTCTTTCTCTGGCCTTTTCTGTGCTTCTGTATTAAATTTGAGTTTGACAAAATTTGTATTTTTAATATTTAAAAATAAAGGAGGTGGGGGTATTTGAGACTGTGAACTCTGACTTTCTTTACACATTGCATTCCGGAATAATGCCAGTGTGTAAAGTTTTTTTTCATTCCCCCCCCCCCTCTCATTTCCTGAGTAAGGCAGACCACAACACATTAGTTAGTGTTGTCAATCTCTCTTTTCCTTCCTTTCCCCCTCACTCCCCCGACCAGATATGTACTAATTCCGCTCCAGATCGCAAACCCAGTGCTTCATGATGGGCCACAGGCATTCAGCAGCTGTGTGGTGTACAGGGCCTTGTCTCACTTTACAAATGTGTGTGTGTGTGTGTGTGTCTGAATGTGTGTGTCTGCCTGTGTGTATCTGTATATAGAGTGAGGACAGATGCCCTCTGTGTTTGGGTTGAGTGCAGGGTGTCTGTGCTGCACTGAAAGTTTGACAAAGTTGAAAGCTACATTTTCAGTTGTTATTGGGGAAACCTGATCAAAGCCAATTACACATCTGGTTTGATAATCCACATGTGGTGTTTCTGAGTTGATGTGTTGGTAGTTTCTTGAGCTTAATTTTCGCCTGATCTGGAGTTGAACTCTGCTGCTCTGAAGCTGGTTAGTGTACGGCTGCAGTAGGCAATGGATAGCAAATGGGGGGAGAGAGAGGATTGATGGGAATGGGTTTGGTGATTCGTTCACTTTTTTAGTCCCAAATGAACCCACTTTTTTTTAAAAAAATACTAAATTGATGGGCGAGGGACTGAAATAGGTTCCTTTAAAAATCTAACCTAACTGAAAAGTATCTGTTACCATTGAAAATGAAGACCTTTCTATTTAAACCCGCTTCTTTCCACTCCCCAGCCCTTTTGGTCTTAGAGTAAGGGCCCCCATCCCCCCAGTAATAGCCAGAGGTTATGCAGACTGGAAGGTCGCAGGTTCGAATCCCAGTCTGTGCTCAGTTAGCTGTCGTTGGGGGCAGTAATTAGGGTCAAAGGGTCTGTGTGTGTGTGTGTGTGTGTGGGTGGTAATATGCTTCTGTGTGAGTATCTGGTGAGCACTGATCAAGGCTACTCAGCCAAGGTGCTGGAGTATTCACACCCTCAGAGGAACAGAATACCTTCAGGAATCAGGTGGGGAACAGGGAAAGAGAGTGTGAGGCAGGAAATTGATGGGCTGGGGTGGGGGAGGAAGTAAAGACCGCATGAGAAGGGGACATTGAAGGGTTGTGTGTGTATACATCAGCGATGGAATAAGCCTTTTCTACCTTTTCGGAGTAACTTGCTGTGGATTGGATTTAAAGTAAAATAAGATGGAAACCAAACGACATTTACAGTTCCAGTGTTGTGGAGGTCTGTCTCCCTTTTTTAATATATATAATATATATTCAAGCTATGATAGACGTTTAATACACAAGTTAAGTAAACCATGTGTTTTGTGTGTTTGTATGATGCAACTTTTTTTTAAAAGGAGCCTTTTCAGCAGTTTTGCTCACTCGTGCAAGTTGTATCTCTCAACCCAAATTGGAGGGGCTTTGAAGTTGGGGTGAGAGAAGAGAAGTTTAAGTGGAACCTCGACTCGTTAAAGAGAGTGCAGGTGAACGTTTTAGTTGTGTTGCAGGGAGAGTAAATAGTAAAACGTAAATCGCCAAATTCGGAATAAATACGTTAAATATTTTACCTTGCTATAAAACCAGTGCCTCAAATCAAATCTGCACTCCCTTCACTTTTTATATATAAACTTAAATTCCTCCACTTCCCTTTGGCCCGCACTGAATTTAACAGACGTGGCATATTTTAAGGGACTCTAGAGATTTGCTTTGGGCACCTCTGATTTTTGTTGCTTGTGCAGTCTATTTCTGCTTAACTAAATTTCCCCCTACCCCACATACACGTCTCCCTCCCCCCCCCCCCCCATGAAAATGGTGCTAGTACAAAGATCCATTTTAGAAATGATATTCTTTGCTTCTGTTTCAATACCCTCACCTCCCCACTCCCCCCACCCCAACACACACACACACACACACACACACACACAGACCAGATTGAGGAATTACTAAATTCCCCCCAGGGCCACCTTCTTGTTGGCGTTTCTACTGATAGAAAATGCTTGTCTTGTGTGAGGGCAGATCTGGACTTGGTTGTGAGTGCATGTCAACTTTCTCTCCTAACTCCACAACCAACCAAGTCCAGTTCTCTGCCGACACATGCTGTCTAGGCTGGCATATGAGTGAATTCCTAGTGCAAATTACATATATAGCTGAACAGCAGTCAGTGACTAGTGGAGTTGGGGGGTGGTGGGGCGATAGAAAAAGGTAGTGAAATGTGTGGTATACTCTCTAAAGCTAGGCTTGTTGTGAGTTTGCACCTTGGGAGGAATACACTGTCTACAAGGATGAATTTGGGTTCCAAATTAACTTTATATCACCCTTACCAGTGAAGCGGAGGGAAAGACAGTAGAGAGAGTGCTTAAGAGTTTGTAGGACTGGAATCTGAGCCTAAAGGAGAATGGGAAAGGGGGGGCATTTAAGGAAACTTGTGCCTCAGTTGAAGTTATCATCTGTGTGTGTGTGTATAATCCAAATACTCAGCCAGTGCTCAAATGAGTGGCTGCTCAAATCCTGCCAATGCCAACATGAGACCGGGAAACTCAGAAATAAATAATAAATAGCCGGACCTGCTGAGAGAGAGAGAATTCCTACTGTGATTGAAAACTGCTGCTTTAATAATAGGTTTGTTTTATTTAAAGTATTTATTCATCGTTCAGCTTATCTAGACCATAAGGGAAGTGGCGAGGCCTATGGTATTTATTCCTTCAATCTAGGGGGGGGCGTGGGGGATAGAAATTTGGGGGGTTTTCTTTGGAGTCTTGGAACTGTACAAGACACACTACATACCTCCCTTTGAAGTCTCTTCCCTTCTTCCCCCACCCCCAAATAATGTGTTTCTCCATCAAAAAGTGAGCAGAAAATCACTCTTTGAGTAGTGAAGCTTCTAACTCACTTGCCTA